CTCTCTCTCTCTCTCTCTCTCTCTCTCTCTCTCTCTCGTTCAGTTTACCTGAAACTGCTTCTGTCCTTTATAAAACACTCACTTGGATCACAAACCAGGCTTCGGCGTGAGTTCTTTCTTGAGGGAAGCCAAGGGCCGAGGTACTTCTCACTCGAGAAATCTAGCCTTTCCATTGTGGCACGAAGTGAGTTTTGAGCTCACTTTGGGCTTGGATTTAAGAAGCCAGATGTTCTTACCATATTGTTTCAAAACCTCTCCTTCTCCCTGGTGCTTGAGCAAAATTTCAGAATCCGTAAAGCCTTGTAAGCCCTTAGCTTTTTCAGACCTACGCCTGGAAGTCACCCCCCTTGGGCCAGTCCTCTCCGCTCAGGCGCCCTTTGCTGATGCGCTGCCCACAGGCATCCTCAGTGGCCTGAGGGTGCTGGTTTGTTTTCTGAGTCCTGTTACTGGCCACCCATGAGTCCCGTTCCAGGTTCCAGAGGGGCAATCACTGGCCTGTGTGGCCCCATGTTCTCTGGAGCCAGCCTCTCTCTCTGATTGTGTCCTCAGTGACCTCACTGAGCAGGTGGGAGTCCAGTTAGTTGATCCCCCGGGATGTTTTTTTCTTGAAGATTCTCTATACCACATCCTGCGACCACCCCCACCCCCCCATTGTACAGAGCTGTGATCTCACACCCCTCCAGGCCCGCAGGACAGTTTGTCTCTGCCTCGGCCACCCCTTCAGTACCTGGTGGCATGGTCCAGCCTTCCCACCCTCGGTGCCACCGAGAACCACTGCACGGAGACCTGGGATCAAAGGTGATCTAGCTAATATCTGTCTGCAGCAGAAGTTCGATAGGTGCTGATGGAAGGCGTGGGGACTCGCAGTTAGTGGCTTTGGCAGTGGGGTACAAGGCGTTTTCCCATAATCGTCAAGAGGAAAAAGCAGGGGCAGGAGCTCTAACTCAGGAGGCAGAATGTGCTAGTGTGACCGCCTGCCTGGGCCTGACTGTCACCCACCCCCACCCCTCAGGGATTTGCTCTTGACTTCACTCTACAGTTCAGGCACAGGAGGGATGCAGACACCACCGTCAGGTAGACAGGTGGCGGTGAGGGCTCCTTAGGTGCGGCCTTGGTGTCTTCCGAGGCGCCCTGGCAGCGCAGTGGTGAAGAACTTGCCTTGGAATCTACTGGCCACGCCACATGAGCAAAGACCTGGCGATCTGCTCCCAGACAGACTGAAGCCCATGCAGCCCGGTGAGGCCTTTCAGCTCTGCCCTCGAGGGTTGCTGTGAGTCAGACCCACTCAAGGTCCCCCGGCAGCGCCCAGTGTCTTTCTGAAGAAAAGGTGATAGTTTCGAAAATGCCAAACCAAGAGCAAAGCATGAAGCTGCGAGTGCCTTGTGCCATACCGAGCTGGCTAACTACACTGCGTCCACAGAAGATGTTGATTCCGGGGCACAGGCTGCCACCCCCATTCAGAGGCCAGCTGCGAGGGGTGGTGAAGGGTGCCCACGGCATGTCAAAGAGGAGGCGCTGCTTCTGTTTACCAGCCACTTAAAAGAGCACCAACCACAAATCAGAAAGGGCTGCTCGGCCACGGTGCCGGTGCTCCACCGCTCGGGTGGGTGGGCTTGCAAAGAGAAGGCCGGTGAGGGTGGGTGATCCCGAATGTTGCAGGAGAAAGACCCTACGAGATTGGCTCTGAAGGGGCTTTGGGGAGTGCTGCGTCCCCCGAAAGGGTCTGCAAACTTTGGAGAGCCCTCTAGGCAGGTTTGGTCAGTGGCTGAGCACGTCACCATGCCACCATCGGGCAAGCAGTTGAGCTCTTTGCGCAGCCCAGGGGTGCCCAAATAATAGCCAAAAGGTTCTTTTCTGTTGGGATACACACTGTGTGTGTCCTTGTCGGGGTGTGGCCAGAGGCGGGCTGTGTGCCCAGCATGCCCTTGAGAGCTCCGTTGCCTCTGGCCATGCCTGCACACGGTACCTTTGGGGCTGGAGAGTAGCCACTGGCCCCAGTGACACAGGAGACGAAATCAGCACTGTTTGTCAAAAGCCTGAGATGCTGTGTGTGAGAGAGCTGCTCTGTGGCTGACAGAATGGGCTTTCCTCCGGGAGGTGGCAGGTGCCCTTAGTCAAGCCAGAAATGCACGCCGTCTATCGCAGACAGGAAACTCGGCCCTCTTGGCTTTCGCTCTTTCCTTTGGAGACCATGGGCAGACCAGATCGCCATCCCACGGACTGGTTCTTTGGTTTTCTTGGAGAGGTCAGTCAACGAATAGAATCTCCTGTGGACCCGTGGTCAGCCTGTAGGCCAAGCCTGCAGTGACGTCATGTTGCAGGAGTCACTTGGAAGTGAATTGGCTTATTTGGATTCTGGATTCGCGTCCAGCAGAAACCTAGTAGATCATAAGAATGATGATGGCAACAAATGTCCAAATGGACTTGACACAATGGATGGATGGATGGATTGTGATACGAGTTTTACAAGCCCCGATATAATGATTCTTTTTAATGAAGTGAATTGACTTATTTGGATTCATGTCCAGCAGAAACCTAATAGATCATCTGAATTCCGTTGAATCAAGATGATTCAGTCTTCTCCAAAAAAAAAGTTGTTTCTGGGTCCACACATCGGATGTTTTTCAGATAGCCCTTTCTCCTCCTGGTGGACACCGTGGACTAACAGTTCCCAGTCTGCTAGTCGCACCATCCCACTAACCCCCTTTTGTTGGTCTTGTCTCTGCAGGACTGAGCCGCCGCCATGGACTGGGGGACACTGCACACGTTCATCGGGGGCGTCAACAAACACTCCACCAGCATCGGGAAGGTGTGGATCACGGTCATCTTCATCTTCCGGGTCATGATCCTCGTGGTGGCTGCTCAAGAAGTCTGGGGGGATGAGCAGGAGGACTTCGTCTGCAACACTCTGCAGCCAGGCTGCAAAAACGTGTGTTACGACCACTTCTTCCCCGTGTCCCACATCCGCCTGTGGGCGCTGCAGCTCATCTTCGTGTCCACGCCCGCCCTGCTGGTCGCCATGCACGTCACCTACCACCGACACGAGACTATGCGCAAGTTCCGGCGAGGCGAAAAGAGGAATGAATTCAAAGACATCGAAGACATTAAAAGTCAAAAGGTTCGGATAGAGGGGTCCCTGTGGTGGACATACACCTGCAGCATTTTTTTCAGGATCATCTTCGAAGCCTGCTTCATGTACGTGTTCTACTTCCTGTACAACGGGTACCACCTGCCCTGGGTGTTGAAATGCGGCATCAACCCCTGCCCCAATCTGGTGGACTGCTTCATTTCCCGGCCCACGGAAAAGACGGTGTTCACGATCTTCATGATTTCTGCATCTGTCATCTGCATGCTGCTCAATGTGGCCAAGCTGTGCTACCTGCTGCTGAAGGTGTGTTTTAGACGAGCGAAGAGAGCCAAGGCGCAGAGGAGTCAACCCAACCACTCTCACAAGGAGAGTAAGCAAAATGAAGTGAATGAGCTGATTTCAGATAGCGGGCAAAATGCCATCACTGGCTTCCCAAGTTAGACATTTCAAATGTGGCTGATTTATCACAAAATGTGTCTTCTGCCGGAAAGCCATGCCGACATCCATTACCCTCCCTCTCCTCTCTAGCCTGGAAGAGTGTCTTTCTGTTCATGGGTGACTTTCATAATGCGTACGGTAGATACTTGAATGAACTCGTCTGTAGAATCACTGTGCCTTGAACCTAACCCGGGGTCCATCTCTGAAAACTAAAAGAGTGGTTGACAGTTATGTCTACTGAGTTCAAGGGGAATGTCTGACCTACTGGGTGTTCCCTGAAAAGTTCAGTGTGTAACTGTTATTGCTAAAGAACCTTTGATCTAGCAACTGCTACTTCTATTAGTAAAAGATATTTTTGTAGGCTCGAATGTTTTAGCTCTGACTTGGAATTTGTATAAAGTATTTTTTATAACGACTGGTCTTCCTTACCTGGACGATGTTAGTGATAGATGACGTCAGTTCAGAAGCGTCTGAGTGTTGAACTTACAGAAGGTCTCTCTTGTTGTCTATACTGGTTTACATAGTTTGTTGGCAAATTAATGAACTATCATGATACTCTGATGGAGGAAAGTGTTCACTGTAGAGTATATTTTTACGGCTTTCTTGATGTCGATGCAGCCGTATGGGAGTGGAAAGCTTTTTAAACTAGCCTATTTGTCAATTGTGGAAAAATTGACACATGAATGTGATTGCCTGGATAAAAATAAACCCTAGTCCTTAAGCCTTAGCATGCCTTGTGGGTTTCTGTTCAGTCTGTCTGCTAGCATCATGAGCCATTTTCACATTGCCCCCTGGTGGGATGATAACTTGGGTGGGTCATATTCCTGGGAGGCTGCTGGTCCTTATGAATGGAGGGGACAGGGGATTGCATCCTCACATTAAGTGGACTGAGCACGCACTTCTGAGCCGACTGGGTCTTCCTTGAGGAGAGGGGCGGGCTACTCATGGGACATGGAGAAAAGACCCTCTGGTCAACTCAACCTTGATAGGAAGGCAGTGGGGGGAGTCTCCAGAAGCACTCAAAGACTGCCCCCACAAGACCTGAGTCCTTATGGTCCATTGTGACCGAAGAAAGTACCCACCCTCAGCTTTAGGGGGAGACATGGGGGAAACTCTTTCTCTCCAAGCATCTTCACATCGAACAGAGATACTGTGAGCCTGTGTGCTGGTGAATCAGTCACAGACTGCATGCTTCTTTGGTGCAATAATTCACACATGCTAATGAGCAGAGGGAGGTGTTTATCAGGGTACACTGGTGTAGGGGCACCTAATGAATCATGGATACCCACATGAGTGAGTCGAACGTTATTGTTACAATGTTTAAGAATAACAATCGATCCCTGAACTACCTGGAAGGAATTGTGCTGAGTGAGCAAAGACAGCCACAAAGTGACAAATACTGTATGAGATCCCACACTGTAAAATTTCATGAAAAAGTTGTTCACAGTTGAAACAACACTCTTTGATGGCTATAAGAGGTGGGGTGGTGGGGAGGCCAAAGAAGGATAAATTATTGGCTCACTCAAAAAACCCACTATTGTTCAGTCAATGGCGACTCATCGCCACCCTATAGGACAGGGTCAAACCGTCCCTTCTTACTCTCACAGAGCCACTCATGGTTTCAAACTGCTGACCTCACCGATCACAGGCTGACACATAACCACTACACCACCAGGGCCCCTCAAATTGCTGGCTAGAAAGGAGACAAGTATTGAGTTGCGTGAAGGGGAAGGTAATATAAAATAAGAGGGAGGTCAGCAAAAATTGGAGGAGGCAAGGAGAGACCCTGGGAGAAGTGCAGGAGTTGAAGACAACAGAAGTAGAGCCTGTTGTATACACAATGATGCAATCACTGATCTCTGAGTGGATGCATGAATAGACCCCCCAGGCTGAATGGGTGTGGGAAGGAAAGTGGGAGTATGCACACAAATATCTATATGCCTGACAGAGGGCATTTTGACATATTTATTTACCTGTCTAGTCATGCTGTGGTGGAGCATACAAAGGTACATTTATAAAAATGGCTTAGCTATAACCAAACACCTTGAAGGAATAGGTCATGATGCCTGGGGGCTCAGGACCATGCACTCGGGCTTATTGGCATAACAACGTCAGCTGACATAACTGAGTTCACGGAGACAATGTTCTACATCCTACTTTGGTGAGTAACAATTGGAGTCTTAAAAGCTTGTAAGTGACCATGTAAGGTGCAACTGTTAGTCTCTCCCTAGAAAGAATTGTGAGGAAAATTAAAGACACATAGAAATAATTAGTCCCATGAATGAAAGGACCAGGTGAAACTCAGTCTCAATGACCCTGAGACCAGAAGAACTAGACAGTGTCCAGTTATTACTGCCAACTTTTAATCAGGTCTCCCAAGCAATGAGGTGGCTATGTCTGCCTAACACTTATGATCCATTTATCACTCCCTCATTGGTACATCTTAAAAACCACTTCTTCACAGGTATGTTATCCCAGGTGAACTAGAGGAACAAACCCAGGGAGACTCGTATGTGTGTAAGCAAGAGCTTTATATACAAGAGCAATTGAATATTGAGAAAACATCCCAGCCCAGTTCTGATCAAGTTCATAAGTCCGGAATTAGCCCTTATGTCCGATACCACTCTATAAATTCCTCTTCAAACTCACGAACACATGCAATGATGCTGAATGCAAGAAGATCACAGGCCAGTGGGTGGGAAGTCTTGTAGATCCAGCGGCAGTAGAGGCATCTCAGCACTGGCAGGGGTCTCCATGTGGCTCCTTCAGCTCCAGGACTCTAGCGTAGCTCCATGTGTCTTGTCAGCTGCAATGTGTCCCAAGGAGTGACCATGTGTCCCACCTCCAATGAGCTATTTATCTTCTTAGCTCCTCCAGATGAGGTCATCAAGCTGTGACCTAATTGACAGGCCAAACTCCACCCCTTCACTCATAAGTCTCAAATTGACAACAGATTATGTATCGACCGCAACAAGACACCTCGCCTACGGTCAGTGTTTCGTTTAGAGGGAAAGGACCAAAAGTCCCTGCCATCTAGCATCATCCCACAGTCACCCCAAATCAATAGATACTCCTACAATGGTGTTCATTGAATTAAAATGGAAATCCAAGACCAGGGGGTGGTGTCTGTCTATCTCTGAGAAGGCGAATTCACTTCTGTGGATGAATTCACTTCTGTTGAGGTGTAAGCTAGAAAAAGAAAGCTGCATTCTTCATATAGACCCAAAAAAATGAGAATCCACCCAGTATTATCTTCTCAACCATGTATTTTTGACCAAGCATCTATTCAGACTTTGTCACACAGGTTACACGTATGTAGGTAACATGCATTGTAAATGTTGTCTTTTCAAAGTGCACAGCATTCTTCATAGGCCACACCAGAACAATCCAATTTGGAAACGCCACTAAGTGACCTGGACTTTCCCTTAAACACATCTGAAGCAGATTGAAGGAACTGAAATACTCCTTGGACTTCAGGCTGAAATGTTCTAGTTTGAGAATAAGCAGATAAATGCTATGCCAGGATTGTAAATTTGAACATCATTGGACTTTGATTCAAATTGCTTGCTTTGGGCTCCAGTGAATCCCCTCTGACTATAATCTAGGGATTTGCTTTGTTATCAGAATAGCCTTGTTTCCAGACAGAGAGCATTGTAGTCGATTATGGTAGATGTAGTTAGGTTAAAATGGAATACCTTATCATTTGATCTGCCTTCCAACCCATTTTGAAGTTGTTTCAGATTTTTAAAAAGTGGTGGTGGGGAGTGTGGTAGTTACATAATCTGGTGTCAAGTTGGGACTTGAGAGGATTAAAAGTGAAGGGGTAGAGTCTAGACTGTCAGTTGGGTCATAGCCAATAAGTCCTCTGTGTGGGCATGGCTTTCTCCTGAGAATTCTGGGAATGGCTGTATTTCCTCTTTGGAGATGGGAGTCTTTCTCTATATATATATATCTCTATCTCTCTGTCTCTTTCTCTCTCTCCCTCCCTCCATCCACTGACTCCCTGAGAGACTCTCTAGTAAAAAGACACATGGAACTATGCTAGTGCCCTGAGCTGAAGAAGCCACATGTACCTACCCTGATGCAGCCAGAACCCTGGACCTGGAAAAGCCATGCAGAGACCCCTGCCAATGCTGAGATGCCTCTTCCACCACTGGATCCACAAGATCTCCCATCCACTGGCCTGTGATCTTCCTGCATTCAGCATCATTGCATGTGTTTTGTGAGTCTGAAGAAGACTTTATAGATTAGTATCAGACATATGGGCTAATATTGGATTTATGGACTTGATCTGGACTGGGATGGGATGTTTTCTCAATATTCAACTCCTCTTGTATATAAAGCTCTTTCTTATACACATATGAGTGTCCATGAATTTGTTTCTCTAGTCTACCCAGACTAACACAGGGAGGGAAATGCACATAGATTAAGCCTCCAGGGAATCCCTTCTGCCCATAGACCAGGGATGTGAACGGCCTTGCTGTCATCTGAGTGCATTGGAAAGTGGATTATGGCAGATACGTGAGGTTAAAATGTAGCACCTTTTCATTTGACCTCCCTTTTGACCCATTTTAAATTCGTTCCAGGGTCTAATATTTTGAGCTTTCTTTTTGATTGAGATTTTTCTCTTTCACTTTGTTGTTGTTGTTGTTGTATGGTATGTTTTCCAGCAGGTGAAACCCAGGAGGGGTAAATCTATAGAGATAGTAGTAACTGGAGGAATGGTTTCTTGTGAGTACAGCAGGGGAGGTTGGGGGGGGGGGAATGGGGAGCTAATAACAATGAGTACAAGAAAGAAGACAATGTCCCACAATCCATTGTGGTGATAATTATACAACTCCACAATTTCCCCCCACCCTCCCCAGTTATCACCCTAAGAAGCTATTCATTTAGCTGCTGCCTCTATAGATTTACCTAACTTAGGTTTCAAATAAAGAAAGCATTTAAAGCAATAACAACAACAGAACGAGACACAGAAAAACTCAGTCCAAAAGATAGAGAAAGTACTGGGAGCATCTGGTGGTCCGTGGTACTCTTCAATACTCTTCACCAGCACCAGCATTCCAAGTGAATCGATTCCTCTTCGGTCCTCCTTTGTCAATGTGCAACTTCTCCATGCACCTACCATGGTTTAGGTCAGGCACACTTGAGTCCTCAAAGTGACATCCTTGCCTTTCAACCCTTTCAAGAGGTCTGGTGCCGCAACTTACCCAATGCAAGGAGTCGTTTGATCTCTTGACTGCCATGATGTTCAGTCTCCTGCATCATTATTCTCCATTTGTGAGCTGATATGATTATCCTGTATGTTGTCAACCTAAACCTCTGTGATGTTCATGAGGCAGGAACCGTGGAAATTATGCTAACGAGGCAGGAGACTATCTACAGGTTTAGGTTGTATCTTGAGTCAATATCTTTTAAGATCTAGCAGAGCTTAAACGAGCAAGTAGAGAAGAGGAGGATCTCATTACCATCCAGAAAGAAGAGCCAAGCGCAGAACGTGTCTTTGGGGCCTGGGGTCCCTGCCCTGGGAAGCTCCTAGACCCACTGAGGAATGATGGCAAGGACTTCCTCCGCATCAGCAGAGACAACGCCTTGCCCTGGAGCTGATGTCCGGAAGTGGGACTTCTCGCCTCTTAAGCTGTGATAGAATTTATTTGGGTGTGTTAAAGCCATTCACTTGAAATATTCCTGTTATCGCAGCACTAGATATCCAAGAGAGTGTGGTTG